GTCCTATGACAACTCACTGCCGCCCTTTCTCGCTGCTCTGCGCGCGCAGACTGCTGGCGATGATGAGGCGCGGAAGCCCTCAATCGGCAACAGGCAGCTCGGAAAGAAGCGTAGTGCAAGTGAGGAGGCAGAGGATGGCCCTGTCGTGGTTGACGAGGAGGGCAACGTGATGAGCGTTGAGATTGGCAAGGATGGGACAGTGAAGGAGGTTGACGAGAAGGAAGGAGACGACGACGTGAAGGCAGAGGCCGGCGCTAAGAAGGAAGGGGAGAGGACCAAGACGTCGACCATAGGAGGTCGGAAGCGAAAGGTCGGCAAGGTCATTGGCGAGGCTGCAGCTCAAGCGGATGAGCCCCAAGGCAAGAAGGGCCAGAAACAAACCAATGAGGAGCATGATGATCCGCCCAAGGAGAAAAAGCCTCGGAAGAAGGTCAAGAAGATCAAGCTGAGTTTTGATGAGGAAGAAGATGGGTGAAAACACGGGACTCCATTCGACACCACGAAACCTTCTGGGACATGATAGCTCGCCATTATCAAGGGGTATTGTGCTCTCCCGATATCACCAGGACGGCCTGCATGTCCCAGCCAGCCGTTACGCTGCCCTCGAGGGAGCTGCCTCTCCAAATACGACCGCGGTATACAAAGTATCATATGAATACAGCCCGGAAACCCAGCCCCGCCAAGAGACGGTGGCAGTATTGTTTAATCACATTACGATTTGAGTTGCGGCGAGCCATCTCATGTCTATGAGCAAGCAGTATTTCGTCAGATGGCTTGAAGGCGAGGGAGAGACAAATTTAGTGATGTTTGGGTAAAATTATATAGATGTGCCCTCATTTACTACCATTCTCAATCACATTCATGTCAACGCGTGTTTGTGACGTTATCCTTGATCTGGACAAGACGTCGCCAGGTTCTCAAACTGAGGTAAATTGACAAATGAAAAGAGTCACCGTAATCTACAGACCACACCTCAAGTGGAATCGCTTCGCTCCCCCCGTGTAATGTACGCCGTCCCCTATTTAGTACACGAGTCTCCGTCTCTTTCTCGACCAGAACCGTGGTGTAAATGTAGTTTTTTATTGGTAGCGGTACTCGGGCTTGATGAAGTCAGCGAAGGTCTTGGGCTCCTCGATCTCTGGGCCGTGGTGGTGGTGGTGGTCGTCGTGCTCGGCACCGACGTAGTCCATCTTGTAGACGCTGCCGCACTCGGGGCATCGCTCGAGAGGGCGGTCCTTGGTGAGCTGCGGGGATCATTGTCAGTCGGGCGTCCGGGGATTCGGTTTGGAGTCTGTGCGTGAGCTGGTACTTACGCGGAGCCACAGGGTGGTGTGGGAGTCAACGGGGAAGCCAGTGCAACCGGCGAACTGCTCCTCACCGGCGGAGCGGACGACGATGGGGTCCTGCAGTGTGCCCAGACGGCTGGCGTCGAGGGGCTTCATGTCGAAAACATCGACGCCCTCCATCTTACCGAGAATCTCGAGACGCTCGAGACCGGTGGCCTGCTCGAGATCGGTGGGGACGGTACCGGGCTGGGCACCAGGACCGTAGAGGTCATCCTCGCCCTTGACCTCTGCAATTGACGTCAGCTTCCTCTCCTTCTCGTCCCAAATCCAGTTGTCTCGAGCTGGTCGGTTGGCAATTATTTGGCGCGGAACATACCCTTCAAGGTCTTGTAGTTGGCGACCTTGGTGTCCTTGGCGGCTTCGCCTGCAAACACAATGCGTCAGTCTTGGTGGGCCTTGCAGATAGGTTTTCGGCTCGGCAAGAAATCACATACAGCGGACGATGGAGGTGGCGAAGGTGCGAGCGGCAAAGCGGGGAGCAATGGCGGCGCGGCGGGCCACAAGGGCAGCAGAGCGTTGGACGAACATCGACATCGTGGCTGTTCTCGATTCTGGTGTGAAGTCGGGAGGTTTGGTGTTGACGGAATGTTGTCGAGGGATTTGTGAGGGTGGGCTGATTTAGGCTGACCTTGAATGACAGGTCCAGCTTTCGGCAGCGAATTGACCAATGGCAGCGTTGATTATCTAGTCACGTGACGACAATGTGCCTTTGTCAGAGCTTCCTGGCCTCCGTATCTCAGCGAGAATGAGGTCATTTCTCATGATGGTCGTCTATTTGAAAAGCCAATTGAATTCCTGTGCAGTTTGGCATGCATCTCCTCTTGCGTCAATTGCACAGAGTTGTTGTTACCAGTGTAGCATCGCCGCTGAGCTAGGCACCTACCCGCCTCTGGCAGATGCAGAGGTGACTTTCTACGTCGCAATGGAGCTTGGGGTTCACTGTACACTTTGCATTGTCAAGCACCTGCTGTGGTTTAAAATAGGATGCCGTCGAACGATGTCCCTTTGGGCGGACAGAGGACAACCAAGGAGCGGTAATCCATCCTTTTCTGAGCTGCAACCATTCACACGTTTCGGAAAAATTAGGAGCAGAAGCTGCTGCCCAGCAATCTTGATCAGCAGGGGTCTTTCTACCGTTCTTGGTAGTCGGCCATTGATATTTCTGTAGTTGCTCATTGGTTAGCCAATGATGAACCATCTAAAACAGGTGACTTTTACGTTCGTAAGTATTGAACCTCGGAGTGGATCTCATTCTACGATCTCACGGACCAGTGGAACGGCTTGGCACCCACCAGCGAGGAACAAGGGTCCTTGATTGCTTGTAGCTATCTGCGATGCTACCATGTAAAGTTCATAATAATCTCCCCCAAACTCCTCGCATAAAAGCTCCTCATGCCCATCACTTTCGTTCAAAATGCGACGTGTAGCTTCTCTGATCATCCGGGTATTCTTGATGACAATTCAATTCGATAAGCTAGGGGTATATGGAGAAATGGAAGGCATGTAATTCAAACCAACCCAACAAAACAAGTCATATGCTCAAATATTCGAAACGGTTTTTGGAGCCATCGCCCAAGGGAAGTTTCGGAAATGGATCGCTGCCGTATTATTCGGGCACTGAATTTGCCGGCTGATTCAGAGCCTTTTGCCTTCGACGCTCGTTCACACCTTGGTAGACACTCTGTGCCTGGTATTGTTGTTGAAGACGGGCACGCCTCTCTCGGCGCTCTCTCAAAACATCTTCTGCTGAGGGACGACTCGCCGTACTTCGTCCCCCGCCCAGAGCCCTGGGCGCGGTTGGCCGGTATCCCTGTGGTGTCGTGCCTTTTTGGATTTTTCCAGTTATCTTGTAGTCCCTTGCGGGCTTCTTCTTAGGACCATAGCGTCCTTGGTGGTTCTGAAGCCACGCAGAGTACAAAACTGCCTTTCGGAAAAGGGGATCGTCGCTATTCTCACTGCTAATGCGTTGAACGACGCCCTTAACATGGTCACGGCCGCTTCGACCAGGGATCAGAATCTTCTTCTCCATGGTAACGCCGACTCTCCATCGAAAAAAGTCCCAGGGCTCCATCGTGAGCTTCTGTCTCGACCTCAAGAACTCGAGATCAGATAACTTGCAGCCAATTTTGTACATTAACTCTTGCTCACACAGACCCTCAAAGGGTAGGTGGTGCTTGGAGACCAACTGGTTCGGGTGCGGTATTGCGTTACCGCCGAACATCTCCCTGATTTTCCTTTGTTTGCTCACGTTATCTGAATGCAACTTGTGGCCGGCCAGGTGGGCTTTGTTGGGGTTGATGTCTTTTTTGGCCTTAAACTCGGCTTTTGAGCGCCCCTCGTCTTGTTCCCGGGCTATGTAAGCGTCAAGAGACCCCCAGTTGCCATCCCAATAGGCAGAAGATTCATTGATTTTCTGCACAGGCACACCTCGGAGAAATGACGGCTTAAGGTATGTAGAACCGTCCGCACTGAGCTGATACACAGCTTCCCATGGCGTTCGGAGTAGCGCCATCATTTTCTCATGGTCAGTTCCAGCGGGCGATTGTGTGCTCTCGTCCTCATCTGGGGTTGAGCTTGAGCGATCTTGAGATGAACGACTCATGATGTTTGCGCAAAACGAGATGTGCCAGGACTGCTAGATCCGTTAGATTTGGTTAGAAATAGAGAAAAGAGCGGGAAGCTCTGCTTAGTGAAAGCGAGGAAATAGGTGCAAGGGGACTTGGACCTACTAGGGCGAGGCTAAAATGTGATCGATGGACAAGGGAATCTTTAGAGAAAGATTGCGAAAAGGTGAGGATTTATTTTAAAGGTGAGAATAGTAGAGATCATCAAGTTGCGTAATATGTGATCAGTAGTGTTATTGATTGCTGTTCACCGTGTTTAATGGGTGAGAAGGTGGTAGCTGTGGGGTGTTGTTTTGTAGAGAACGCGTTCGCCTGTGGAGAGTGTTTTCGCCTTGGCCTCAGTTGAAAATAGAAAATGTAGGCCAAGAAAAAAGGAAAGAAATGGAGAAAATGCGCCTGTGAACTGAGGCAAGACGAGAGAAGATACGGAAAGAGTGTGAGACTGTCTTTATGAGATGTTCGGGAGAGAAGATTAGATGATTGGGGTTACCCCCAGATGCATTACTTTAATTCCTCACTTCAGGTGGTACTGGGGTGAAGCTGTAAGTGAGTGCGCTGACTAATGCAGACCTGGCAGCGATTCACAAGCAGCCAGGAACCATTATTAACGCCTCGGCTCGTAGTGTAGGGGGCAGCCAGTACCTACTATACAGAGGTAGGTACTGTTGGGTGCTGACCGGCTGCAACTTCTTGGCAATCTGGCTGCCGAATCCTTTCGCTGGAAGCTAGCTGGGATTTGATTAATGATACTTGATTCGTTTCTGGCTGCATTTGCGTGTTTTTTCTCCACACTAGATCTCGCATTTCATTTGACTTATACCGTGCCGAGGTATCGTTTAGCATTATCGCCAAAATCATATATACTGGCTTCCTAGAGTATTTATTGTTGCGCGTTCTTAACAGATCGGTCTTGCAGATACCCCAAGACAGAGTCAGAGTCGCACAAGCAGCTTTGAGTGACGCGCTTGTGATGCCTCGCGACAAGATGGACGAACCAGTGGAGCACAACCGGTTGTCATACCAAGAAAACATGGAACTCCTCTGGCTTGACGAGGATGCGAAAAGTGGGAAGCAAACAATGATGAGTCGCCAGTCTGCTTGGATGCCTGGCAAGAATGCTCCTTGGGAGTCAATGAGAGGGAGCCCTGACGAGAAGAAGTTCTTTGGTCGTGGGGCGTTCGGAGGGCATGTGTTTGCCCAAGCACCACTGGCAGCTGCCAGGGTCGTGGAAAAAGATGACGGTCAGACACCAGCAAAAGAAAGACTGGGCATTCACGTACGGGAATAGCCAAGCTCAGAATTTTATGGTGAATAGGGGCTAACCTGAGTACCTCTCTTCTAGTCTATCCATGGTGTTTTCACCAACCCGGGCTTCATAGATCGCCCATTCATCTATGAAGTCGCCAAAGTATCCTCTAGTCGCTCATTCTCAACTCACATAATCAATGCGAGGCAACCTAAGGAGCCTTCAGGCACCCCAAACGGGCCATTCCCTCCGTCGGATGCTCAACTGCCACTGGGAGATGTCTGCTTCACCTGCGTCACTACGTTTAAGCGACCCCTTATTGGTCCGTCAGATATACAAGACGAAATACCTCCGCAAAAACGATTCGCAAGCATCCTGGAGTCTCGGGCACCGGACGAATGGGAAGCCAGTCCCCAGGCTGACATTGATCTGTTACGCGAGAATTTCCCCGTCAAAGGCCATGTCTGCTTTCCGATTCTTGACATGTACAAAGTTGATATGACGGAATTTAACAAGGACAAAGCTATTTCTGACCGTCGACAGCTTATCTTATACCGTCTCTATAAGCCCCTGCCAGCAGAAGACGTCAACGCACATATCACTTGTCATGCCTTTGAAGCTGATCGCAATGGATTCATCATGCTGGGAAATCACCTTGGATATGGCTATAACATGGGTCCAGTTGCAAGTTTGAGTTATTCATTCTACGTCCATGTGAACGCAGAAGAGGCGGTTATGCGAGGGGACGGATGGTGGATCCAAGAAGTATACTGGCCTCGGGTTAGTGCTGGGAGAGGGATGATGGAGAGCAGGATTTGGAGTCCAGAAGGAATACACGTAGCGAGCGGTTATCAAGATGGGATATGTCTGCCGGCCAGAAGCACTCAGAAAGCTAGAATATGACGACTGGGAATTGTTCGCTGGGACATAGACTCTTTCATCTGGTGTCTAAAGCACATTTTCATAATAGATAGACATCAATATCTTTCCTTTAGCTATCATATTTGGAAATGCGGATCTTTCACTGCTGAACATGAAGAATGAGAACCTGACATATGATATATGGCAAAGCGAGCATGTCGAACATTACAAACTCGCAGACGATGAGCATGGAGCTCACACTGAATCGCTTACTGTTTCAACAAAATAATAGCCAACATAAGCAAATGCTGTTTAGTAAAATTAGAGTACATGTAAACGCGTTGCTCAAGCGGTGTGGGTATGTAAGTTGTTGATGGCCGTTGACAATTGTAGCCGATCCGACACAGAAAACCGTGTCTGTGTCTGCCCGAAGACGCACTCCATGTTTACCTGAAGAACGCCTCCCATGTTTATCTGGAGAATTTCCTTGACCCAACAACTCGTTCACCAGCATCACTCCCAGCGACGCAGAAAAGTCCAACCAAACCGTAAGAACAGATATTTCTACAGTCGAAGATCCCCTCCCTCGCCGTAATGTCGCCTACTTCTTTGAAGAATGAGACAAATAATCTTCTGAGCGCGTTCGCCCCCTTCCTTTGGTGATAAAATCCCCATCCCTGCCTCGTCCCAACCATCCGCCATATCCAAACAGGATTAATACCACCTTAATTCATCAGAGTACCCAGTACTCTGTTGAATGCCAAGAGGTTTCTCCCTAAGCCCACGAAATGCATCTCTTCATACCCCGTTCCGTGGCGAACAATGAGAAAAGCCTTGCCAGGCTAACTCAGACATCCCCATCCACCATGGCAGGTGATACATCTGAGGGATGCCAAAGTAATACCGTATCACAGGCACCAGAAACACCGAGGCAAGAAAGTCTCGAAATGTCCACCAAGGAAATGAACAGCAAGGGCATCGATTCCCAGAAAGAGGAGAAGATCCGAGATCTTCAAGCCCTGCATGGCAAGGCAACGCAGGAGCTTGATGCACTTCTCCGGAAGTGCATCAAAGAAGTCGAGGGAGGGTGCGAGTTGCCTGAAGCCCACAAGCGCAGTTTCAACCAAATGGTCATGCCTTTCAAGGCCGCCACAAGTCGAGTGATCCGGCCTTCTGAGGCCGAGGAAGAATCTCTCGTCGGCACGCCCGTCACCGACAGTGACAGTGATGCTGCAGTTTTCAGCAAGGATGAACCCATGGCCAAGGCCAAAGAAGAGAGTCCTTTCCAAGCGACAATGGGGCATGCCACCCCTTCTCCCAAACCGAACTCCGGGTTCAAGTCCTTCCCGTGGTTGTCAAAGGGGGGACGAGGCCCGGTGCCTGCCCCGTTTAGCCCGGGAGTTCGTCAGGTTCGTGAACTTGTCACATCGCCGTCCTAATGACTGGTTTGACTTACGTTAAGAATAGAAGCCGACCAATGAAACATGCCCCTTGGGACCAAGTAATACCCCACCAAAGAGGCACCGAGCCAGGACTGAGGGAGACACTCCTCGCAAGTTTCCTAAGCTGGATTAAGTTCTACCTAGGTTGAGTTCCTCATCTGACTGCTGGTTACAATGATGTATATGAAGAAGCACTATGGTTTGCAGGGAATGGTTCGGTCACTTTTATGAGATGAGACGAGTGTGGTGGTTGCTTTCAGGAGAGTTGGCATTATGAGAGACATGGATTGAGCACCCCGACCACAGAAGCTTCGACTACCTACCGTCGAGTTCTGAATGGCTGCCACAATATTTCTTGGGAGATATTGAACATAGATTTTGCCCACGCGGCATGTGTATGCGTTGGATTCTACCTAGTACTGGGAAACAAGTGAGGGTCTAGCTGCTGTTCGTTTCTAGCTATTTGAACCATGTGGAGCGAGGTGACATAGGTACGCATCAGTGGAGATTGGATGGCGGTCTAATGATCAGGATTGATGCTTCTGATGCTCTCGCTTTCTTCCTAGATATGGTTGCGGTTTGGGTCTCTCTGTCTTGTTGAAAGCTACGCAGTGGTATCTTTGCAATTCGGTTCTTTCTTGTCGGACAAAGACGAATAGGGTGCTCTAGGGAATCATGTTTGCGAAGGCTGGGATTGAATGAAAAAATTTACCTGATGCATGATGCTGGCAGTGTGTCATTTCGCATTTTGCGCCACCTTCTTCTAGCTTCTGAATAATGCCTACGCCAGCAGATCCGATGACGGAACACGAAAAAGTTTTTGTCTGATCTCAGATTCCCCATACCTCCGATTAGCCTTGGATCATCGGAAGAAGAAGGAAGGCTGACGCCAAAGCTTGGGCCTAGAGATGTTGGTGTGGCCACCAACTGATTATCAGATTGATAACCGGATCTGATAATCAGCGCACTCACACCACACTCACCAAGATCGTCATTCATCGGGTGGGCCAGTGCAGAGGAATGGATGGCCGGAGGCAATGACTGTGGGAGAGGTCTTGTGCAGAGTGATGACCAGTCAACGGAATGTTCCGTCTCCAGGACCAGGGCTGGTAGTGAAGATCAGAAAAGAAAGCAACTTGGGCAGCCTTGCCGATCAGCCGCGATATCTGATTTTGCAGCATCATGTCTCCAGAGCGGCCCCGTTAAGCTTAGGTTAGGTTGTTTGCTTATTCCTGCTCTGGCTGCTAAGCTGCATTGAGTCTGGCAGAGACGGTTAGTGTCGAGCAACGATGTCAGGCGAGAGATTTTCCCTGAAACACACCCAAACACCCACCAGTCAAACGCCCCCAATTACCTCCCCTTTCCTCCTGATGGCATTGGGATTACCAAATCAGGCTTTGACGGCAGTTGCTAGCTGGTAGCTGCTGCATCTGCTGCCGATTATCCGAACCGCCCCAGTGCCGTGAAGCCGAGTCCACACACAGCTGCTTTATCAGATCCATCAGATAACCCAACTAAGCACGCTCGCTGCAATGATCTTCATCGCCATGCTCCACGGTTCTCGTTTAGTGCTCATAGCTCGACCCTCGAATCTTGGGATGATGAGGGATTATCCGTCTAGTTCGGGGACCCTGGAGCCTCGATCTGGACCCTATCCTTTTCGCTAACGGCGACGTGAGGCACGAGGCAAGATTTGGTGCCATGCAATGCGATGCAATACGCTTCTCCCAGGCGGCAGCCAACATGGGGTCCATTATTACCCTGCATCCCTCTCCCCGTCTCCGAGGAGCCGAGTAGTTCTTAACCCCCGGGTCGCCTGCTGTGAGACACGACTTGCTACCTGTCAGCTCTCAAGTTCTTGCTCCCTTTGCTCTGGTAACACCTTGGTCTATCTTGTTTCAATTCAACGTTGCCAACAATGGGCGTTACTGAAATCGATCGTGACCAACATGCTGCTGCTGCTGTTGATGCAGGCAGTGAGCATGACACTGAGAAGCGCGAGCAGCTGGCGGCTGACATCAACGACTCAGATGGCTCCGAGGTGAAGCAGGAGGGTGTGGCACAGGTTGAAGCCATCACTACCGTCTGGAGTACTCGCATGCTCTGGACTGCTTTTTTCTTGTATGTTTGAGGAGGGAACCACAGAAACCTTACCCAGGATATGTGCTAATCATATTGAAAACACAGCCTCTACCTTGTTAGCTTCGTCGACGCTCTCCTCCAATCCGTCCAAGGTGCTCTGACTCCTTACGTCACATCTTCCTTCTCCCAGCACAGTTTGTTGGCTACCACAAGCATTGTCGCCAACATTGTGGGTGGTGTCTGCCAGCTCACGATCGCCAAGATCATCGACATCTGGGGCCGTGTTGAGGGCTTCACCATCATGATCTTCCTCGTAGTCCTCGGTATGATCCTCAAAGCAACCTGTCAATCTGTGGAGATGTACGCAGCTGCGCAAACCATCTACTGGGTAGGACATATCGGTGTTGGCTATATCATCTCGGTCGTGTTGGCAGATATGACAACCCTGCAGAACCGTATGATTATGTTTGGCATCAACCAGACACCCATTATTGCCAGTGTCTTCGCTGGTCCTGTCATTGCCCAGTTGTTCTATGATGAGGTCAACTTCCGCTGGGCATTCGGGGCCTTCACAATCATCATGGTCGTCTTCGCCATACCCATCATCATCATTTTCTGGCTGAATCAGCGTAAGGCCCTGAAGCTGGGCGTGATAAAAAAGGAGAAGTCCGGCCGCACATTGTGGCAGAGCGCCGAACACTACTTCTGGGAATTCGATGGTACGTGTCTCAACCTTGGTCCCAAGACTTCTTGAGCTACCTTAGTCGTCTTATTAATTGCTCACATTTGTTACAGCCGTCGGCCTACTCCTCACCACTGCAGGATGGTCTCTGTTGCTGCTTCCTTTCAGTATTGCCAGTATTGCACCTGACGGATGGTCTTCAGGATATATCATTGCCATGATCGTCCTTGGTTTCGTTTTGTTGGTCGCATTTGGGCTCTGGGAGAAGTATTTCGCCAGGGTTCCTTACTTCCCATGGAAATATCTCAAGGACCGTACTGTTTTGGGCTCCTGCTTCCTTTACGGATTTATGTTTCTGTCCATCTTGTAAGAACGATTCTAAAATAGAGGGGAGGGGAAAAGGGTCACGGCTTGCTAACTAAAGTCTCTCAGCGTTTGGGATGCCTACTACTCAACCTACCTTCAGGTTGTTCACGACGAGAGTATCACGATTTCGAACTACGTTCTGAACTGTTTCTCTCTTGCATCGGCATTCATTGCACCCTTTGTTGGACTGTAAGTTAAACCATTAGAAGCTTTTTACGGCTCATTCGACGGTGCCATTGGTTCGACAGCTGACAATTTGACTAGGCTTATCCGCTACACGAACGAATACAAATGGACCTCAATCGCAGGTATTCCATTCATGACTCTCGGCACGGCCCTTCTTATCCACTTCCGACGCCCCGAGACTGAAATTGGCTACCTTGTGATGTGTCAGCTGTTCAACGGAATCGGCTCTGGCATCTGGGCCCTCACAGCCGAGATTGCCATCATGTCCTCGGTCAAGCACCAGGAGGTTGCTGTCGCCGTCGCCATGTGGGGTCTCTTCGGATCCATTGGCGCTGCTGTTGGAAACACAATTGCCGGTGCTTTGTGGACGAACATCGTTCCTGAGAAGCTTACCGCTGAACTTCCCGAGGGTAGCAAGGACCTAATGGCTGAGATCTATGGCGACATTACGGTCCAGCTGTCCTACCCCATGGGTAGCCCTATCCGAGACGCCATTATCGCTGCGTTTGATGACGTTCAGCGCAAGATGGTTATTGTGGGCTCTTGCTTCTTGCCTCTTATGTTGATTTCCATTCTTGTCTGGAAGAACAAGAACCTGCGTTCAAGACAGCAGGAGCAAGGTCAATCCAAGGGAAACATCTTCTAAAATACTTGATACAGATTCCACTTCTTCAGAGGGGAACACTAGCCCCGGCAATCTGGGAAGCCTGCTTGTCAATAGAACTCTCCTGACTTGTTTCGTAATCAGAGATAAAGATGTCAAGCTTGAAGAATAAAGAGAGAGGAGGAGAGAAATGTAATGAGAGAGGAGATAGACGGTTCTCTAGGATCTTTCTAGAACCACCACAAGAAAAGAGTTGATTATGCATTAGGATATTGGGGAAGACAAGATCTAGTAATGAAAAATTCAAGATAGAATTCGGCTTGAATATTCTATCAACTTTCGAACATACACAGTCTATCTTCCAAAGTACATGTTTGTGAATTTTAAAACTGAGAATGGTGGGAGGGTATTAATGAACTATTTGACTCTATACTCAAAACCTGGAACTTCTTTATGTGGAATTTAAAGACGATATGCGTGTAGCTATCTAAACGTACCATACGTCTCATGGCATCCACTACTCTCTCCCTGCCGGTGATCGGGGCGGCATGATTTATGCGCACTGTGATTAGCAATGAGCTCGGACTTGGCTCTGAAACGCGCTGTATTGACCTCTCCTCAGTCTCCGCGCCCAGTCGCCTGAGTCGAAGTTGTTTGGAGCTTTCCAACATTGACACGTACTTTCTGGCTGCGTTTCCAAAAGCGGGTGTTAGCCGGCCCTGGGACACTCATGCTTTTACACCCTTTTAACCAGGCTGGTCTGCCTTGCCCATGCTAGATTTTCAAATGCCAAGGCTGGACGGAGTTTGGGAATGGCTTTGGATAATGCACTAAAACTGTCGCGGGATCCCCAAGCAGTGCTGCTTAGACTAAGGTTCAGTCCAAGGCAACTGATCGTATCATCCGCGTGGGAAATTGCAACATCGCTATACACTTTTCTTGACTTCAACTATTGTGGTCTGCGGTGGAATTCACTGAAGGGACAATTGGTTGATTTTGAGAAAAGACTTGAAGCGACATTGATAGATCTTGCAAGGAAGCTCGATGTTGAGTAGAAACTTAACACCGCTGATCAATTGCCTTGGATAGTTGTCCTCTTGGAACTTTGTCTTTCGTCTGTTTAATGCATTACTCGGAAGAGGCTTAAGAAGGCAGGAGGCATCAGGTGTTAGGATCTTTTAGTAATGCCAATTAAACCTCTTGCGGTAGATGAGGTGTAGACTCGCTTTTTAACCGGCACAGCTGCAGCAGGATGATAGGTTTGGGAGTGCCCGTGGCCTATCTTAGTTTGGCAACGTGCCATCGAAAGGGAGGCGACTACAGACCTACTTGCGGTCAAGGTGCAGCTGAACGTTTAGTAGGATACGAGATGATCGGCCATCACGGATAGAGAAGTCGCCGAGTTTCATATAAACAAACACATACTATTTCAGAAATCCGGACAATTTAACCGTAACCTCTTGGCAATCGACAAAAGTATAAAATCTTGGAACTCCTCAATTGGACTAACTCTCCTCGCAACACTCATCCTTAAAAATCTTCTGAACACTTCACAATACTCCATACGCTCCACCAATCGCCATAATGCTCGCCTTCAAGCAAATCATCCTCGCCACTCTCGGATTCGTCGCTCTGGCCTCCGCTGCTACTTGCAAGACTGACGCCGACTGCGAATACACTGGCCAGAAGTGCGTGATCCTGGAAAACCAGCCAGGTATCTGCACTTTCTACGGAGACATCCCTCCTTCTTCATAAGCAATACAACGGCTCTCAACTACCCACAGCCTTCACTTTCGAAACGGGTTTTCACCACAGAACTTGTTCTGCACACAGACGCATGGCTTTCGATCTCCCTCTGCAACTTCAATCGAGCCTCTACTTCGGGGACTTGGGCAATGAGGGTTATGTATGTGGTGGGACTCAAGGAATGAATAGTACTGTTTGTGACTGTACATCGGAAAGAAAAGATGAGAAAAACTCGACGTAGATATCTAAATTATCATTGATTTCTGTGATCCACATCTTGAACTGCTTGTGATTATTGGTCGGTCAAATGACTCTGGATGGATAGAATGACTATACGGAAATACAGTCGTCCCAACATTGCTTTGACTCTGTATGTATTTGTTTATACAACGTTTTAACGCTTCGTATAAAAATCTCCAGTGTCATGAATAACTCGAGGAGTCTCTTGTTCCTTCCCCATTGCTCTCTAGTTTCTCCAACTACTGGCCCAAATATCGATACATACCTAGCCTTGACGTCTACTTATTCATGTTGGAGTGGGCACTACCCGAAATCTACACTTGAACATATCTCACTCGACCTATCCTAGATCACTAGGCCCGCTCGTCGTTAAGCTCCTGGGAACAACACATACTGCTACGCTGAGTTGATGATCGATATTAGAACATACCAGAATTACCATTCATAACTTTCAAAGAGCCCTAGTAAATATCTGCTCAAGGTGAGCATCACGGTCAGCACGATCGCTTTCACAGTGTGCTTGGATGAATGATATAGACGCTATGAGTGCACTGAGCTGCAACCAGAGAAGCATCACGCTGTCTGATTCTTTGCAGAGCCTGTCAGTCGGATGATCTTCTACCAGACTATAAGAGGTTGTGAGGAGTTCTTGGAATACAAACTCCAAAAGCCGTTATCAGGAATCGAAACCTACATGTCTTCCATGAAACCGAGCAATCACTGGTAGCTTGACGCACAAGTCGAAGCATAAAGAGCTGACCAGGCTTGGCCGTTTTAACCCCAGCTAGATCCATTTGAATGTAGTGCTGACTTTTGTTGTCACCAAGGCTCGCCGCAAATGGCCCAACGATCAAAGCCATTCTACTGCTATTGGGTTGTGGGCAGTCAGGGTTTCGTAGATCGTCCCCTCTAAAGTGGCCCACTACCCAGGCTCAATCGAACAATAAATGTCGACAAGTGCTGGAAGAGCCATCTTTCAACCTTCCGATCTACAGAAAGCGGCATGATCCACAATGGGATGATGAAACTGTACTTGCGGATGAAATCAAAGGCCCTTGGAACCTTTGTCGCTCCTGGTAGAAATCTCGCCCATAACTAACCTCGGCGAATAAGCTACGGGAGCCATCCGTCCTTTTGTATTACTCAGACGAATACTTCCGGCCTCTCTGAAACTGTATATCCTGCCGCGATGCCGGACCGGGTGTGATAGGAGCAGCCCGTCGCATCGTTGGATCAACTTATGAGCACATACACACCATACACCCTTATCTGGCAGTCATGCAAGAATGACATACATAAATGAAGTGCACACTAAGGTGCTCTTAATCCTTCATGTATGTACGTAGTAATCAAGCCAACGGTGCTACGAGGATTTGCCCCTGCCAAGCTCTTTCGCTGGGCGGCTTCGTAAGATGCCCCTACAACGGCAAGTGCTTCACAGCAAACCACACCGAAAACGGTCATTGCCGTCGAAGGAAAAAACACAGAGCTGCTTCTTGAAGATGCTCCCGAGCGCTAATGTGATTGACACCCAGACCACTGGGTTTCGATCTGGTGTGGTGATTCCAGGGTCTTCTCTAGCCTCTCTTTTTGCATCAAGACACCTGCGAATTTGCTTTTTTTGCCCCTCCCACCCCGTAGGCTTCCTCCTTCTTGTCGATCATCATTGGGTGTGTTGTTGGAGCACATGCGGCAAACGCCGGTGTGGCCAAACTTGCCCTTTTTAGGGCCCTTCGAAATGAGATGCCAACCCCCCACGCCCCAGCGATATGAAGAATAACTGTACAGTAATGGTAACTAGATAAGAGACGAACGCGGGATGCCCGAGGATAAGAGGATTGCTTGACGCTTGACAAATTTCTACGATACTGTTGATATCGAATCTCTCCCATCTATGGGAACCAAGCCTTAGTCTGGGGCAACAACACCGGCGATGCGTGGGATCGGGAATTGGTGGGTGCGGTTAGTTGTCCCTTTGGATGAGCTTGTTTTGGTCAAGGCAAGATATGCAGAAGCCAGGTGGACCCTGCATTGATTCTTCAGCCTACCGTCTGCACCGCACCGTATTGCGTGTGGCTCAGCCCTTGTCTCGGGTTCTGCTCTCCTGGCTGCAGATACGCAGCAGTGCCGAGCTGGATGCAAGGCATCCGACTCGATGTGCCCTGCCTTGCTGACACGGCAGGGAACGCCATTTCTTCGGAGGCGGGTTGGTCGGGTCGATGCTTAGCCTGACACTGCATATTGATGTCGCAGTGGTGAAGGGCTGGTAAGCACAGCTGAGAGCAGCCAGAGGGATACATCGCATATGCAATGCAATGCAGAGGAGGGAGGGTCCGTGTGTCAACAGGCGTGGCGACAAGGCGTGGCACAGCAGTAGGGCGGGCGAGAAAAAGCAATGCCTATCCTATGACGGCGAATCGCGCACGCACGGCTACGATCTTTGAGTGCTCCAACCGACTGGGTGAAGGATTCGATTCGCCAAAGACCCCTCTTGCATGAAGACATTCCCAATCGATTGGTAGTCTAGTTGCGGGCTGCTCACAAGCTTGTCCTGGGAAAAAATGGCACCTCGCAATTTTGCTGCGTCTTACATACATAGTACTATTACTTTTGACTCTGGTGTCGATTGTCATGACTGAATACGGCATCGGTCGATCAAAGCCGCGTCGAGTCTCTTGCTGCCTTACCATGCATGCACTTTTGGCCTTACTCGGCATGCGCGAACGTTTGCTCACGCATGCAGTCACCCTGGAGGGCTGAGCATTGCCCAGCTGTGTCGGTTCGTATGCGCTGTCATGTGTTCATGTAAGAGCCGTTCATGCCCTTTGGTGCCGCTGCAACTTTTCTCATCGGCCGCGTGAACAATGCGCATGGACAGGCTACAGGGCGGCTAGAAAGCCTTCGTCAATGCGAACCAAACTATGACGCCGACACCGCTCTTCCCGTTGGATTGATCGCCCGTTAGCCGGTCGAGCTCGGGACACCAGTTTTTGGCAGCGAAGAATGGTCGTTTTGGAAATGCGGTGACTCCTACGTTTGCTGAAGAAAGGTAAAACAACAATGGGCTGGACGGCTATGCCTCGTTAGGCAGGCTGTTGGTTGCCCCAGGTGCTGTCTCAGGCGGGAGCTCCCTGTCTGCCATGCCATCGCCCAGCCTGCCGGCTTTCTCTGGCCTTTATCGGCATCTGGCTTTGTGTCGGCATGGGGGGGCTGGAAGTGTCCGTCAGAGTGTTATCGAATTTGCACCAATAGCAGTCTGCCATGGCCGTATTACAGAGTGTTATAGCTATTACCACCGGAATGTCTAACTTAGCAGTCGATACCCTCCATGGCGAAACGAAATGGCACTGGATGAGGATCCGGACAGATGGTGGAAAAAGGAAGTCGCCAAGTCCTTGGAGCTGGGCCAAAGTGCTAAACGCTCTTCGTAGTCCTCGGGGTGCCCTCGGTAAAGCCAGCACCCAGAGAGGCAACTTCAACGTTTTCCTCCACTGCCGCTACCTTAGTGCACCAGCTAGCTCACCGTTGAAAAGACGGCAAGCTCTGGGTACGTCCCGCCGCGGTTCGCCAAACTGATGATATCATTCTACCAAGATACACTCAATAGACTCGCGCACTCATCTTTCGCCATGATGTATTTATTTATATTTCCATCGTCTCGTACAAGTCGCCTCCGCCATGTGGTTGGAGGTGCACGCTCCCTCATGACAGACCGGGCAGACTCCAGGGCCCCCGCCGCTGTTGGCTTCCCCTCCAGGGTCTTGTTACAGCATCCTGGCTGCCCTCCAAGAAAAACCGGGTAGAGAGCCACTCTTTGGGGATTTTTGTGCTTGCGACATCGAAAGGCGATTAGTCACTGCCCATGATACCAACAAAAGCTGGCAGCCCACAGAAAGCTCCATCACTTCGAAACCCTCAAGCCAGGCAAGGTCTGGCTGGTGGTTGGTAGAGCAGTCGCTCGTAGTGGCGGTTGAATGTTGTGAACTGGGAATGCGGGCGAGGGGCACGAATACATTCTTACCTGCTGTCCATTAATTCACTCTCTGCTGTTAGCTGTATGTACGGCGATGCCTGCAGCATCTGCCACATCCACTTGCTGGCAGCCCCTTCTGGAACTGGAACCAGGCTGGAAAAGCCTGCAGATTCGGAGAATGCCGCCTGTAATACCGCCCAGTTGGTGTAGGCCTAGGGCTCGGAAGTGCTAATTGCCTCTGGGAGGACCGGCTTGGTAGTGCGGTGAAGCCCGTAGACCACCCACTAAATAGGCTGAGCCGCCTTTTGGGCCGACACCATCCTGCGCCACCCAGAATTCGCAAACTTTTAGCACTTGCTTGATGCCGTTTCTTTCCACGCTTCCGAAGCTAATCTTAAGCTACAGCAAATTGTGACACCATTCGGTGACAGCTGCAGCCGATAATCAACACATGCAATACATATCATCATCTCATTTCCCCTCACGCAGCCCTGCCGCAAGGATGCAACCCCCATAGCACTGGGGGGGAATGGGGTCCCAGGCTGCAATTTACCGCACCTGACGAACAGCAACGCCCATCTCCATGCCATGAACATATCCACGCGGTGTCCTGCAGTCCAGTCACGGCCCTCTCCCGACCGCGCGCCATCGAGTTTCCACCCTGGAGACTGGTGCTTCAGGGTTCTCCCTGTCTTAGATGTCAGATGCCCGGATGACAACCCAGTCTCGACAGCAGCTCTTGGTCGGTGTTGATCCACGTCTCAGTTTGCGTATCCAACCCGATCCTCGGTGGTGGAGGGAGCCTCAAGGGCCAGCATCTAGCCCGGCCAACCACGCTGTCTCATGCCGCCGAGGCCCTCTGTAATCCCTCGGGTTGTCGCTGTCGCCCCTTCTACACCGGGGCCCCCTGTGCCACCCCCCCCTCCCGGTGGGATTTCCCCTCTGAGCTCTCGAATCGCGGGGCACGTCCAC